GAGCCGACCCAGCAGTACGAGTTGCCCGCGCTCCAGGCGCTGACGAGGATGCAGGCGTTGACGATGGAGGGGAGGATGTTGATGCCGGCCTGGCGAATGGCGATGACCCAGGGGGAGGAGTTTGCGTTTCCGGAGTCGGAGACGAGGCCTTCTTCGCGGGGGTCGACGATGAGGGAGATGAGGAGGGCGCCGAGGACGTAGAAGAAGCCGATGCGCCATGTCACGCGGCGGGCGGCGTTGGGGATGGCTTTGTGGGGGTTGATTGATTCTGCGGCGCTGATGACGACTGTTTCGACCTATTTTTGGTGTCAGTACTTTTCACACATTCCTCTCCCACTCTTGTTCTCGTTTCCAGGTGGGAATAAAAGAGCGTCCAGGAGGAGGGAGAAGAGGGACCGGGAGAACATACACCAATGAAGGAGAAGGACGCATTCACAAAGGCAGCGAGGAAGCCCAGGAAGTGACCAGTCGAACCAGTGATGCCGTTGTAATCAACCCACGCGCCCGGGTTGTTCCAGTACCGGAAGCCAATGGCCTCGTGGTTGGGACCCCCGCCGGCGGTGATGATGATGGAGGTGAAGACGAGGCCGACGAAGCAGAGGACCTTGATGGAGCCGCCCACGACCTCGGTCTCGCCGTACCAGCGCACGCTGAGCAGGTTACAGAAGAGGATGAGGGCGAGGGATATCGTGATGACAACCGCGGGCGTTATGTCTGTCCAGTACGATACCAGAATCGCAGCCGCCGAGGCTTCTGCGCCGATGGAGATTGTGTAGCAGTAGCCGTAAGAGATTGCGAGGGAGAAGCCGACGGCCGGGTCGATGAAGCGGGTTGCCCAGTGGGGGAACGAACCGGCGGTGGGAATCTGTAGTCAAGGGTCAGTCTTGCTGTTTGCGCGTGAAAGCTGCAGGAACCTCTCCCGCAGTGGAAAGCTGTGTAACACATACCAAAGTCGCAAGCTCTCCGATACTCTGCATAACACACCACAGGACAGCACCGACGATGATGTAGGCGAGCAGAAGACCAGCCGGACCGGCCTTGGCGTAGGCCGAGCCCGTTCCGATGAAGAGGCCGGTTCCGATACCACTGCAGAAGCCAATCATGGTGACCTGGTAGTCGCGCAGGCGGCGCTGGGTGCGGCCGTGGCCGCCGACATTGAGCTGAGGCTCCAGGATGGCGGCCTTATCGTCGTGGTGGTCGTCAACGCCGGACTTCTCAATGTCTTGGACCGCATCGTCGTCGGCGACGGGCCCGATGGACCGGGGCCGGGAGGAATCGTACGCCGTCATGGCTGAATATCCTGTTTCTCAAGGACAGTGACTGAAGCCGGCGATTATTCCTTTTGGGCTAGGTGCCTATGTTTGTTCGAAACTTGAAGAATTGAACAGTCGAAAGGTTGTCCAGAGAGAGCAGACTCCAAGGCGTGGAGGGGCCCATATCGAGATTATATGAAATACCTAGTGGCAGTCAATCCCATCTGCAAGATTTTTTCGCATCCCTAGGGCGAGACCGGAGGACTGGGCACTAGACAATGGCATCATCGGGCTAGTTCGCGGGGCGTTCCTGGGTAGTGTGGGGGCATGAGGGGCGAGGATGAGAGCTTGCAGCAGATCGTGAAGCTGGGCGTTCTCACCGAGCTTGGCCGCGCTTCACCTCTTCACCTTGATCTGCTTTCGGTCTGGATGTAGTCTTCTGCCACGGTGATTCGATTACCTCTTGCAGTGAGGGTCTTGATGGCATACTAAACGTGTCGCATTTAATACAACGCATCAACAAACACCATCACGAAGCTTCACAAGCTATCCCATCTCCGGTCTCGCAGAAAAAGCTGAGAGAGATGGAGCGATGGCAATTCCAGGTACGTAAAAATTCTTCCCAAGTTGGCCGAGGCGGGCGGGTCCGGGGTCGCGGAGGACGGGGTGCTGTGGGCCGCATCCCATTTGCGCCGGCGGTACGGAGGTACAAAGCGCGGTAGCGCGGTATGTGGCGGACCCGTTTCCCACTTATTGCAGCACCAATTAGACTTGTGAGTGGCTAGAAGCGCCGGTTGCAATCTGCGAACAAGGAGGCGAATGCATGAGTCGTTCATCTGAAAATCTTCCAAAAATCTTCTGGAAGAATGGCGAGAGAAAAACTTGCGCCGAGCTAGTGACGTCCGTGACAAAGGGCACTTGACAGTTGAAAGGGTCCATCCCCACGTGCTCCCTCCCGAAGGAACTGGCCAAGACGGGATCTTACCTCCAAGACCGGGAGAGGGACGAGGGGTTCTTGGTAATGATAGGAGCTGCTGATAGCATAGTTGATAGGAAGCCTTAGCATCTCCCTGCGTCACACAGATCGATGTAAGTGGAGGTTCAAATGGGCCAGCATCTTGAAGATCTACTAAATGGTTGAAAACCTGTCAAAAACCGCATTGCGGCAACTGATCATGACATGACATTCTGAAAACGCAACCGCCGTGAGTCAAACCCCCCAAAATTCTGCCCACTGCTCAATGCCCGCCTCGAATTGCGCGATCCGGAAACCCCGAGCCAGACCCTACTGCGTACGCAATCACAAACCACACACTTATTCTTTCTTTTGGTCACCGGCGCATCAAGGCAAAGTCACTTCACACTTGTGCCCAACAGGGCTGATCATGAAGAAGTTCTCCATCTCCATCATCTCATCCGTCATCCCGGGCGCCATCCTCAGACCCCTGCACTCCCGAAAGAGCACGGCCACGGCTAACCTGAGTTCCATTCTCGCGAGCTCTACGCCCAGGCAAATCCGCGAGCCGGCGCCCCATGGTGAAAAAAGCAGTTTCTGATTCGGTGTGAGTTTGCTTTGGTCCATGAATCGTGTCTCGTCGAAGCTTTTGTCACGTCAGCTGGTTGCTTCTTTGCGACGCCATTACCATCGCAACACCACATCCGTAAAGTAATCAGTGAGAGCCTTACCATAGGGGATCCCGCCACACCTCCGGATCCCGGTGAAGTGTATACGCCTGCGTCTCCACCGTGGTTCCGCTGGGGACGAAGTACCCCCCGAACGTGGCGCCGCCTACCGGCACCGACCTTGACAGCTGTCCCGGGACAGCGCCGTACAGCCTCAACGTCTCGTCAATCACGGCGTTGAGCAGCGGCAGCTTTTCCAGTGTATCATCGTCGAAATTAGAGCTCAGTCCCGCGACCTCATCTTCCAATTTGACTTTCAACTCAGGTCGCTTTACGACCGCCCAGACTAGGTATGCCAGTGTGATGGATGTTGTGTCCGAGCCGCCGATGATCATGCTCCGGCTTTCTCTCTGCACCATTTCTTCTGTTAGCTTCGCATTGCCGCCCTTCTCTTCTTCTCTTTTGTCGTTGGTATCGTCTGCATCGAGGGCATTCAGCAAGGTCGTGATCAGGGTTCTGTTGCGATCGCTGTTCTGGCGGAGGTTCTCAACCGCGCGATCACCGTAGCTGTCAAGGACGGCTTGTGCGTCGACGAGATCTGTCGAGGATTTGAGGAGTGGCACATGAGAGCGGATGAAGTGCAGCCAGGGCAGCTCATAACGCGTGATGTTTTGGACCGATATAAGCTCCAACATCTTCATGTAGTCGTTTTTCTTCCATCTTGTCGTTAGTATACTGGCCGGCGAAACGTAGGAGGGAATTGAGTAACATCATACCTCGCCTAATTCGAGCATATTGAAAGACTCCCCGAAGCACAAATGAGCCACGACATCAGTCGCCATCATGGTGAACCACTTCAATACATCCGAACACCCGCCTCCCCCCGCCTCTTTGCGTATCTTGCTCACAGCCATATCAACCTTGTCTCTAACGACGCCCTCCCACTCTTTCCTGAGCGAAGCCTTCGTAAAGACCCTGCCGAGTAGTCTCCTGCGGACGGCATGTTTCCTCGGATCTCGCATCGCAAAGAGGCTCGGCTCGCCGCCATCTGGTGAGTTGGACTCCTCGTACCACGGCGCCTTGAGGAAGCCACCCCCGATGCGGTGGATTGCGGTAAAGCCTGCTGGATCTGCGACGGCTACTTCATGGGGAGAGATGCGAACGATAGGGCCATAAGTGGTGTGCAGCGCGTGGACATAGTACATTCGTCGGCCAGTGAGGACGTGGTGTTTGAGAGGGAGGTGGGTGAGGAGGGTATGCGTTGGGCCTGGGACGTGTCGGAGGGGGTTGCTGAATGCTGTGTGTATTGTCTGGAAGAATCAGTTGCTGGGCACTGTGTGAAGATGGTACAACTTTCCATGCAACATCGTCGTGGGGTACAAAATTCCTTAGATGGATGGGCAGCTTTGCATTTCTGCTTGATGGCAATGCTTACATACGTCATGAGGAGCAAGATTAAGCCTATGGCAGCATAACCTATTCCAACATGGTTCGTGAGGTCTGCAAACAGCATCACAACAGTCTGTGCAGAGCTCGTTCCCAGAACGAGGGGAGAGAGCTGTTGTTTGGGTGATAGCAATTACCATAGATGGCAGAGATTGGGCTCTCAGACCAATGTCATCCCAAAACTTGACGAGATATGAGAGCGCGACTCGTGGGCTTTTAACGCATCCCTTCTCAGATTTTGACTTCTTTCGCTATCGTTCTCGCTCAACGTTCCGCCGGAATTTTGCCTAAATAGGAGAAAAGGGACAAAACAATGCGGTGGTGAAGTCGCTTTCCCCTCATTGTCTAATCTTAGTCAAAGCATAAGTACGTAAGAAACCGGTATATCGTTCAAGGTTTGAATTTTGCCGTTATCATCCAATCTGCTGCTAGGAGCTCAATGTTTGAGTTGAAGGTACCACTCTTGAATACTCAATGATACGCCAATATCACTAATCAATCATTTTCAACTTGATTGCGTCGGAACATGGAAGATTGGTCCGGGTATTGAAGGGAGAAAGATGGGCAATAGTTGACTTGTTCGGCGGTGCAATGTTACTCTCATCTCGCAAGATTGCATTTTATTGCATTGAAAGTAACGCGAAATCACATAGTCTAAGTCACCGAAATCGACTGATACCGGGTGTGAAGTCATGTCCAATAAAGCTAGGTGATAGGGGCCTAATGTTGCTGTCTATAGCACTATTACAGCCAATGATTTTGAATACAAGGAGAAAAAATGCAGTTTCAATGATAATGTCTATGTGATATAGGATGAGGTGCAAGTCTAATGTCTCAAAGAGGATGCCATCAAGCCTGTCCATGTCTGCCACCGAATCCCGACTTCAGGGTTGCATCTCCCACGATGCCGTGTGTGCCAAAAGCCAATACTGCACTATACTCTTTGAAACTCTCAAAGACGATTGACTGCGTTGCCCTCTTCAAGATCCCGAGCTGCCAGCTCTGGCCCGTCGCCATCGCTAAGTGGTGTGTACTCGGAAACGGTAGACGAGAAAAAGCCCGTCTTGGCGACACTCCGGCAGTGAGGGCAGTCACAGCTACGACTGACAAGGAAATGAAGAGCCTGAGGTAGAACAATGAACAGATGTACGCCCCTAAAGAAGAGCGTTAGCCTTCAAACGTCTGGTGAACCCCGGGGCAAGAGGAATACTCACAAGTCAAACATCATGAAGACAGTGCAATACGTCCCTAGCACAATAAGTGGCTCGTGCCATGGATCCGTCAGGAGAATCCAACTCGGGATCAGGAACAAGAGGTGGAAGACGGCCAGGAGGCAGTCGGCCCAGAAGATGTTGGATTCGGTGAGCGCTTGGATCGGTGAGCCGAGGGCGGCGACGGCATCACGGTTAAGGACGAAGAGGCCAAGGAGGGCCGAGGCGGCGAGTGGGAGGAGACCCAAGGCCGGGAAGGCTCGCTCGGATGCTATACCGTGGGCGATGAGGAGTATCAAGGCTGGTGGGAAGGCGATGATTTCGAGACGTCGGAGGGTGACGGTTCTGGCTGCTGAGGACATTTTGGCTTTGATGATGTATGTGCTTGGTTGTTGGTTGCTTCGATTGTTCCACGGAAGAAAGATACTAGACCAAAATCTGAGTACTAGATTCTTGGGTGTAGAAATAGACTTATACCAAGATCAGATCCTTTAGTAAGGTGGTGCCTAAAACCTGTCCTCATCTGGAGTGACAGAGTGTAACTAAGTACAGATGTTACGTGCACGTATCGAGCCAAGTGCAAAGCCACACACAACCAACGGTCAGGAATGGGAATTCTGGTGTAGTACAAGAAGATCTCATAGGTCCAGCGTCCAAGAGAGCGTCAAGCCACAGGGCTGAGAAACATCCCGGGATTCTAAAATGGGAAGATGGTATGCCTGGACTGCCGATCTGCATGGGTCTGAATCCTTTCTAGGCACACTAACGTGCTTTAGGGTGCCGTCCTGCCAAAACAGGCCAATTGGAGGAGAGGTCGCTTGTAAGTAGCTGTATTTTGCCTGGGACACAGATTGTGGCTGCGTCAAGAAGTCAGGCAGACTCGAATGCTATGCCCGCCGTTCGGAAGGGACTTTGGTGGTGACTTGAGCCTGCGCTAGTATCAGGTGTTTACTAGCCACGGGCGTATGTGTTGGGCTTTAGGAACCTTGTTACCGAAGAAATTGGATTCTTTGTGACTCACAAGTATGAGAACACAGTTTCAATACAATAGTGGACTCGATCCGCAGATGTGGAGAGGATCTAAAAGCACTTGCTTAGCTCGATTTGACGTGGTCCTTTGCATCGCAGACACCGTGTTGTTTTTCTCTTGCAGCTTCAAAAAGGTACTTTCATCGTGTAACAGCTCTTTATGAGCTACTCTGAGTTCATGACACGTGTCAAGTAATGTGATCTAGACTAAACGGAAGAAAATAAGTGCTAGATGCGTGAATTCGATACCTGATCTGTAAGGACAGTATTTCTGCCTATTTAGATTCTTACGAAGCCAGGATTGTTGTGTGTAAGTAAGTATCCTTACAATGTTGACGGGAGGGAATTAGAAGAGATATTACAGTATTCGACACGTCACTGGAGAAAAGCCTTCAGGCAAATCAATGAAATCAAATTAATTCGAATGAATGATACAAAAACGTTGCAACTGGGCATCCCAAGATAAGATCCAAACCTACTTTACCCTACTTGCCTGAGCAGAAAACCCAACAATAGAAGAACTAACTCACCCATAAATGCCCTCCAGAATCAGTGAATATTCAGAGCCAGCGCGGAATCTTTACCACTTATGCAAAGGTAAAGTGTTTATCCAGTTCCTTCCTCAACTCCTTAGACTCCGCGTCGACAGCGTCCAAGTTCCTGCCCAACCAGGCACAATCCCAGAACGTAAAGAGTGCCCAAACCTTGATGAGAGAGTGAGCGTAAGCAAAGAGAATCTGGCATGGTATCAAGGGGATATCGGAAGGATGGCGAAGGATGTGCGGCCAGAGCTTGATGGTCTTGGTCCAAAGGACCCAAAGCGCAAGCAGGCCCATTTCGCTTGTGAAAACCCCCCTTGTATGCCATGAAAGATACAGAGACACGAAAAGAGTTGCGTCCCAGAACAGAGCAAAGTTGAATAGGGCCGCTACGTATACCGCCATATAGGTGTATGGCATGCGCCAGGTGTAGACGTCACTGACGCGCCTCAACATGCATGGGTTGCTCCGGAACGTCGTTCTCGCCCAGCGAACCAGCTGACCCCGGAACTTGACGGCATTCTCGTCGCCCAGCGACGTCTCAACCACGCTGTCTTCGGTCTGCTGGAACTTGACTTTCCAACCATGTCGGTACGCTTCGCGGGTGAGAAAGTTATCGTCATCGGGGCCAAGACCCTTGCCACCAAAAAGACTAAAGAAAAATCGCTCCCTGCAGAACCTGTCCATGAAACCCGTTGACTTGAGGAGCTTGGTTCGGTAGGCGGCGGTGCGGCCAGAGACGACAAAGACGCCTCCGTCAATGGCATTGGAGGCGCGCAGCTCCCAATTATGGCGGAGGAGGTAGAAGCATCCAATCAGGTTGACAATAGAGATGACGGACCACTTACCAGGTGTCGTGCGAAGGACGCGCTTGTATGTCGCCACCACTCCCATGTTGTTGTCCTCGAAAGGGGCCAGGACCGAGGGTATAAATTCGGTGCTTGGCCAGTAGACGTGGTCGTCTGCGAGTATCGTGATATCGGTGTCGACGTGCGGTACGGCGTGGGCCACCTGACGGCGCTTCGATGGGTGGAGGATGGCGCTCACGCCGATTCTTGTGGAGGGGTACTGTCTCTTGTAGCGCCTGGCGACTTTCTCGCAGCGGCGGCGCATCCTGGCGCCGACGGTGACTATGAGGATGGCGGCCGGCCTATTTTCGAGCACGGAGAGGATGCACTTGACGAACTTTACGTTACCTGGGTCAATCGTGGGGAGAATCACGGTGACGTCTCTGTTGGTCCATTTTGGCCACGCCTGGACGGGGGATGGCTCGTATCGCCAGCTTCCCCAGATGTTGCAGAATAGGCGAGTGTAGCGAAGGACGAAGGTGTACTGGAAAATCGTGGCCCAGTCCCCTGCAGTGTAGTCATAAAATGGCGTTGCTAGTTTGCTGTAAATCTCTAGCTTCCAAGATAGCAATATGGTGAAAATGAATAAGATGAACTGTTTCGGACTATTTCGAGGGAAATCTAGTATCGTAGTCAGAATTGAACTGGGGTTGCGTTGGGTTGCAGAACGGACTCGGCCGCCAGAAGCATGCTGGATCGAGTGAACTGATGATACAGAACCTTCTGTGTCAGAACTGTCCGTGTAGTCGTCAGTGTAAGACATTCTGAGTCGTACTATTGGTATCGAACAAGTGGAATGAGGATGCTGGAGAATGTATTGCCAACTCACAACTCCGAATGTCTTAGATCAACGACGTTGAGCCTATTTATATGACACACGTAGCATGATGTGACAGAGAATGAACGAGTCTGTTGCGTTGCTACACATTCAAAACAATGACATTCATCTTCGAATCCAGTCTTTGTTGGCGACCAAGTCTCCTTCATTCTCTAGGAAAGAAACCCTAAAACAATTCTGACATCAGATAAAAGGGAATCAAAACAATAGTCTTTGTCAAGGTGCAAATTAATTCGCAAAGAAAATAGGGCAGTAAACCCGAGGGCTGTTTACTGGTCTTAAAGACGATGGCCTTGTTGTGAGTTGTCTTAGGAACAAGATTATTGTCTCGTCAAGGCTTCGAAGGCGTCGAAGTCTGGAACATCGCAACTATTATTGGACTACCTCGAATCGAATGGACAAAAGAACATCACCCCCATGCGCTTCAGGGAAACAAGGTTCTACCTAAGCTGCGGATCTCTCAAATAAGACTGGAAGTCCAAAGCGAAGTTGTCTCATTTGTCATTGAGCATGTCAAATTCTTCTCCACGATATATGGAAGTGATTCATGGAATATGATTAGCAAAGTAGTATCTCGGGTGTGAATAGTGGAAGTGAGACATAATGCTCCCAAGAGCCTCTGTACAATGACTCTGGCTAATCTTAGTGCATCATAGGACGAGCGTCCTCTACCATCTCACTTGAGCCAAAGTACTTTTCCAGCTCGTTCTCAAGCTCTCTCCCCTCAACGTGACGCATCTCTCTGGCGCGTTTGACGGGGTTAACTTTGTCGGCGTGCGCGCTGGCGAAGATAACATCAAGCTCCTCCAAGCTCCGTCCCTTGGGTTCAGGGAAGAAGAAGTACACGCAGGGGATGATGGCGGCGTTGAAGACCGCAAACATCACATATGTCTGATAGCCCAAGTTTGCAAAAGCAGGGGGCGTGATCATGACAATCAGGAAATTGGAAAGCCAATTGGAGCAGGTGGATAGGGCGTTGGCTTGGATGCGGATTCGGAGGTTGGTGATCTCGGCAGGGTAGAGCCAAGTCATTCCAAGCCAGCCTGATTGAATATTAGTGTTAAATCATACAGAAGTCTTGGCAGTGGTGAGAGGGGCTTACCGATAGCGAAGAATGAGTTAAAGACAAAGAGGAAGACTGTTGCGGTGACACCATAGCGAGTCTCGAGATTGGGGGCCCCGTTGTCTGCAACTGTGCCCGTTGAGACAGTGCCGGCCAGGATCGCCATTGATGCCATCATGCCGAATGCGCCGAAAAGCATCAGCTTGCGTCGACCGGTTCTCTCAATTAGTGGTAAAGCAACCAGTGAAGCTAGGAAATACTCGGTGCCGTTGAGAGCGGCGAGAAGCCGAGAAAGTTCGGGACCAAAGCCAAGAGAATTCTCGAACAAAAAGCCAGCGTAGTAGGTAATCAGATTGATACCTATGAGAACGTGTTAGTCAAAAAGTCTAATAACGGGCAGTTGTCCCGACTGGACCTACCGCAGATCTGCTGGAAGAATTGTGCGGCAATGCCGAGCAGAGTCCTCCTCAAGTTTTGCGAAGGGCCGTTTGTCAGGAGCTCTTTGTACTGGAAACCTCCGCCTTGGCTCTGAACCTCGAGGGCATCCTGAATGGCTTTGACTTCGAGAGTGACTTCCTCGTCATCAATGGGTTTACCAAGAAGACGAGACGTCACTTTACGAGCTTCTTCCATACGGCCCTTCATGGCTAGCCAACGGGGCGAGTCTGGAAGGTAAAGGAGTCCAATCATGACGATGATGGTGAAGAATGATTGGAAAGCTACGGGGAACCGCCAGCGGATGGTACCTTCGAGGAAGTAGAATCCGTAATCCTATTGCAACATTAGTCCGTGGAAATGAGACAGTCGTGGGGCAAAAGAACTTACCACCCAGTATGCAATCATGATACCACCAGAGATGAGAGCGCCAGAGAGGGTAATGAGGAACCCGCGCTGATGCGGCCGCGCGCATTCCGATTGCCACGTTGGAATAGCTGCACTTTGGTTAGGTCATGACCTGACAAGAGAAAAGGACTGCAAGTGGTCTTACTTGATGTGACCATTCCATTTCCAACACCGCCAATAATCCTGCCAGCGGAGAATAATCCGTATTCGTGGGCTCCAGCCTGCAAAATCGTTCCAAAAATCATGATGGCGCTACCCCAGAACGTGGACGACTTGCGCCCCCAGGTCTCTCCATAGAAGAGAATCAGGAAAGCTCCTAGGAAGCAACCAATCTGATAAACAGCAACGGCTGCGGCCTGCGTGTTTGGATCACCGGTGCACTGACTGTAGTCTCGCTGGGTATTTTCGGGGTAGTCGAGCCAGCACAGGGCGTTTGACTGGTCCAGGGGCGTCATCAAGGTGATACTCCTCTGAAAGTCGTCGAGAGTCAGAAGCGAGCTAAGGACACCTCTGGGTACTAGTATTAAAACCTGGTTTCTTGAAGGTTGGAGCAAAAGACACGTACTGATCATAACCAAACATCAAGAAACCGCAAGACGCGATGAATCCGATACTCCAGTTGAGCAGCTTGCCCTCAAGAGGTTTCCCGCGGAACCCCCACTCTGGCAGATCGCCCATCTTGGCAAAGAATCCCATCAAGCCTCCAGGCGACTTTGATTTCTGGTCGACGGCGCGGCTGCTGTGATCCGACGACGGCGTCCGGCTGCCACTGTCGCTAGGCTGTTCGCGCTTCTCATGCTTCTCGGTCATGTTGGGCTCGACAGCTGTGTTGTGTTCAGCCATGTTGATCTGGATTCCGACTTGAGTCGAGAAATTGGAAATTGCATGTAGCTGTGGACGATCAGGCGAAGCTTGGAAGGTCTTGGGGAAAGCGTGGCTGTAAGATGTGCGTCGGGCTTTGTACTCGCTCACTTCCCACCCTCAGCTTAGCGTCTTGACCAACATCGTGGGCCTCCGATGAGACGGTACCTAGTGAAGGATGACTTGGCTGAGGTCATGTTGGTGTTTTCGAAAGCTGACAGACGAACAAGAGATGTCGGTATGGGGACGTTGTGTCTTGGAAGGGCCAGCGCTACCCACACTTTTCCTCCGGAGGAATGTCTTGGGTGTTGGTGGTCAAGCGCCGTTGATTGATTTCTCCAGTCAACTGCAGAAAACGGCCCGATGCCATGTCGTCGGTCAACGGGTCAAATCGTTTTTACCACGTTGCTTTTGTTTTGATAATTGCGAATTTTGATCTTTTCTTTTTTTCCTCGTTTTGTCATTCTTCGGAGACGTAGATGCAGACTGAGACAAGCCAGCGAAAGTAGCCCTGCGATGACATTGAGCTCTAGTCACACTCTGAATCACAGCCAGGAAAATGACTCGAATAACGGAGAACATGCCTTCAAAATACTAGTTCACAGCCAAATTGACTTGCGGCAGTGGATCGCAAAAATCATCGCCGAGCCCGACGAGCCAACATCCTCCCGCACGGGTTGCCCAACAAGGTAAGCCGAGGCTGGGCGGTCCAAGACTCTGGTGTTTTTCTGATTGACCTGGACAAAAAGTAAAGTAAGCTGAAAGGTTCATGGGAAGATTAAGACCCTTTTTTAGTCTTGGTGTTGTCTTGGTCGTCGCTTGGTGTTTCTCGGCGGGCAAGGATTAGCTTGCGGAAATGACGTTGGCCAAGTTTTAAGCTTAAATCGCGGGTTGGCTGCTGTCGGACTTTTTGATGCCCACGGGGTTGTTGAGCCCTCCATCCCACCTTGACGAGTCTTGAGCCAACATGTTTGAGCGGCTTTGGTTCCGAAGGTGAACATACACGGCGCGATCTGCGAGAGACAAGAAAACCTTATTCGGAAGGCTTGAGTATTGTATTTGGGCGATCACATCGATTCTCCAGCGACGAATTGTGTCTCGCGTCTAGTCTGAGCGAGAAGCTTTCCTCAATCTCAACTGTCGAAAATAGACTGCTATCAAATCTCCGTTCACGATGTACGAGACTTCCAATTCTCCAGTTTGCGGTGAGACGGTCCAGACTGCCACTCGTGAAGCGTTGAAGAGTCAGTTAAGTCTAGGTAATTCTTGCTTTCGCAACATACTTTAACCTGAGTTGCGTAGCCGCCGCTTCTTGAAACGACGCGGCTATCAATGGAACCAAATATAGCAAGAGAGAGGTCATCAGTCATAACTTTTTCTTTTCATTTCAACGTTACAATTTGGTCCATTAAAGCTTGAGAATAGCCTTTCCGAAGTTCTTTCCGGTAAGCATGCCGATCAAACCATCAGCAGCGTTATCGATGCCTTCAGTAACCGCCAGCTTGGACTTGACGCTTCCCTCAGAGAGCCACTTTTGCAAGTTCTCCTGGTGATCCTTGAAGTGGGCGGGGCCAAATTTGGGGTTGCCCACGAGGAAACCTTGGAGGGTGATCTGCTTGGTAACGAGCTGCATCAATCCGTTGATGCCCTTTTGTTGGTCGGCAGGGGTGTTGTAGTTTGAGATCTGTTCTACGCATCAGCGTCATATTCAAGCTCGAATACCGAACTCTTGTTCACTTACCATGCCGCAGACAGCAATGCGACCTTCGGTGTTCATACTGGTGAGGGCAGCCTCGAGGTGATCTCCACCGACGTTCTCAAAGTAAATGTCTATTCCGTTGGGGGCCAACTTGGGAAGAGCCTCGGCGGGCTTCTCCTTCTTGTAGTTGAATCCGGCATCGAAGCCAAGCTCCTTGGTGATGAAGTCAAGCTTCTCATCTGAACCGACGGAACCGATCACGGTAAGGCCCTCCCGCTTGGCAATTTGGCCAACGAGCTGACCGACAGCACCCGCAGCCGAGCTAACAAAGATGGTCTCGCCCTTCTTCGGCTGTCCGATTTTGTGCAGGCCGGACCAGGCGGTCAAACCCGGCATTCCAAGAGGTCCGAGGAAGAGCCCGAGGTCCAGGTTGTGGGGGTTCTGCACCTTGCGGCCTTGCTGCAGGATCTGAGGTGTGACGCGGGCGTACTGAGCGATTGGAGTGTGGGAGTAGACGAGGTCGCCTTCCGCAAAGTCGGGGCTGTTGCTCTTGAGGACCTTGCCCACGGTGCTGTTGGTGATGGGCCCGTCGAGCTCGAAGGCAGGGGAGTAGGACTTTGTGCCGGCATCGCGCATGCGGCCGCGCTGGTAGGGGTCGAAAGAGGCGTAAAGGACCTCGACGACCAAGCCGCCCTCGGGAGCGTCGTTAAGGTCAATGGGGCGGTCCTCGATGGTGAGGTGCTCCCCCGCTACCGGGAGACCGGTGGGGATCTTCTTGAAGATGAGGGTCTTGTTTTGGGTCATGGTGGATGATGTGGTTTGGAGGAGCTTCTTAGATGAAGTGAGTGTTCTTGGTTTGTGAGCTGATGGTCCAAAGGCTAGCAATCAGTATCAGACAACTAGAAAACCGGACGTCAAGAAATAGTCTTTCAATTAAAGCTGCATTGACGTAGTTGTGGGCAGAAAGTTGTGCCGAGGTATGATAGGTATGATTTGTAAGGATATTAACGCCGATAAAGTGAACCAACCCCGCGCGTTCCACGCCTCACCCCGCCTTTTCTCGACTGCGATGCTTTGGACAGTTACACGCGAGTAAGGTGCAGTAAATATGACGTGCTGTTGCTTAATCATCACGAAAACCATCATACGACGACGGTCACAATGATATACCATGGCAAATCGCCACAGACTGGTCTTCGAGATGAATGAAGCTATTCACAAAGCAGCTGACTGATAATGAAGTCTGCGAATTGGAGCCGACTGTGATTCGTCTGGGTACTTGACTGGTTGACATGTCATGTCAGCACTCTATGATCATACCCTGCCCTCTTAGTTCGCATCTCTGCCAAGTTCAGACAGCTCGTTAGCGCATTTGCATTTTACCTAAGGTAAAGTGCTAAGTGGTTTTTTGTATTGTGAATTTGTCAGATGAAGGTAAGAATTCAAAACAAGGCTGCTGTAATTGAGGTCCTGTACTGTAGAGGTTGGATTCAGAATACTTAGTCATATCCGGCCCCCTAAAACAGTTCACTTGCATGCACTCTTTGGTTCCCTGTCTATCGCGTTCATTTCATCATCTCAATCACATTGTGGGCATCTCGATATCTCTTCGAGACGTCTTATTCTACCAACAATCCGCCTTTGAGCAAAATCCATCCAAGTCTGCGTGCCTTAGTGGAAGACCGCCAGATACGCCGTCAATTCCAGATGCCCTAGTCCCACGGAAGCCCATTTCGTCACAATCAACTTCTCAGCGTTGCCGAGAAACCACGAAACTAAAGAGACCGACACAATAGAAAACCAGAATCGCCAAGCCAGAAGATAATACCGGCATGGACCGAAGTAAATCTCAGCGGTCGTTCATGTGCCTACCCCTAACAACCACATGAAAGCTCTCCCGAAAGTCCATTTCCACCTGGACATCTGCGTCATGCTGCCGCCCGTTTTCAAGTGAAGACCTGCGAGGCCGCTCCATCCGTCCAATATTGCCCTGATGTCATCTCGTGTTCGAGGCGGCCAGAAGCGGAGAATGTTGGTCTTTGGATTGCAGAAGCCGTTTGGGACAACCGAGGAGACCGTAACCGACGTTGCGGTGGGGAGGATGAAATAGCTCACAAGCGTAAGGGTCTGTCTGAGAGTGCTGTTTTCCAAAAGAGAGCGCGGAGCAGATTTCGCCGGGAAAACGTCGACGAGACATTGAGATCCGTTAATGATTATGTACTTGCCCCCAAGGATAGCTATGATGGTCTTGAGGATAATGGCGGCGGTCTCGGTGGCTCCTCTGACCAGGATTCTGAAGATGACGATGACTGGGCTACAGAAGATCTGGGACCACTACAGCCCAAGATAGATCCTAGAGATGGGAATGGGAACCACCAGTTGATTTGGGGAAGAAAAGCATCCATGACGACTTTTGCCGTGACGAGGCTTATCACTGCCATTGAGAAAAGCACCAAGTATACCGGAGTGCTCATCCTATCCGGCTGCATATGCTGTCCCGGTGCCATCTGAATATGCTCATGGTCTCCATGGTCCGGATTTGGTCGCGCCGCCATGCCGTCGTGCTCCTGGTCTCGTTCCCGCCGGTCATTCCGGATACCTTGGAGTTCCAGGTTCATGTCGTTGACGAGTGGTTCCATCAAGACTATTACAGCTCTGCCACAAGTAGTGCGACTTTGGCGAGGTTTAAAGTCCGCTTCTGTCCGCCGCGCTAGAAATTCGTGGCCTGCAAGTGATAGGATCGATATGGTTGAATAAAAGGAAGCCTGGCATGGTGAGATTACGAGGTGCAGGTGAGATGCGGCTTATCTAAGATACTTTACTTAGTAAATAATTGCTGTGCCTCTCACTGGACAAAAGTCCTTAGGCCAAGGGATGGCCAACCTGCGTAAGTAAGGTAGCTCAATGAACGGTTGGCTGAAAGGATAAGGTTAGACAAGGTTAGTCACGTCCATTGTGATCGGAAGCGATTAGTGTTGATTCTTGCTTTGTGAGAATAATCTTCCTATTTTATATCCTTGTTTCTCTCTTCCAATTCAATCCCTTACTGACTTCCAACGGATTCTAGAACCCCCTTGATTTCTCAACAACAAAAATAGCTTCCCTTAAACTACCATAGATACACAACCATCAATCCGTGGCCTAGGCTTGTCAGAGCATATTTTGTAGCCTGACATACCGGTACCATAGTGACCAGTAACCGAGAAACAGCATGGTGTGGGATCTGTCGGCGCGCAATGTGACGCATACCATCCACTAAGCGACGGCCCGTTTTCCCCTTCAATCCCTCCAGTATTCATCCCCCAATCTGTCACCATGCCCGAGAGGAAATCCTACGCCGTGCTGACGTCCTGCTGGGGGACCAGAGACTATCGAATCTGACAGCTGGCTCAATGCAACAACAGAATCCGAGCCGACCTTACAGCACCTCTTAACCAACCCCAAGACGCCCGTGTAGCCCATCTTCAGGGGTATTCAAGCATGCTAACCTAATTCCACAGTAGTGGCGCATACGACCAGCGTTCCGGCGACTCAATCCATGATGCATTCCCACGTACGATGATGCGATTGCGAGGGCATACTTAAGTATAGACTCAAGCCATTGACCTTCATCATGGACTTCCCCAGGGAGTTCAGCTCGGCTCACTCCTTCAAGATCCTTCTCGCAAAACGCACTCGTCGATTGAAGTATCAAGCGACAAATCAACTCTCCACAACATAATGCTGCGGGCTTTTATCTTGTCGCTTGTGAGCCTTGCGGCGGCGCAAGACCGCCTCTTCTCCTCGGCCTTTGGGTACCCCGGCCGCAATGCAAGCTACGATTACATCGTCATCGGCGGCGGCACCGCCGGCCTAACTATCGCGTCGCGCCTCGCCGCAACCTCGGCCTCCGTCGCTGTAGTCGAGGCTGGCGGCTTCTACGAGGTCGAAAATGGCAATAACAGCGTCGTGCCCCTCCTCTCGCTGACCGGCATCGCCTTCATCGATCCATCGCCAGACTTCACACCGCAGCCCCTGATGGACTGGTCTCTGGTCTCGGAACCGATCGCAGGCGCCGGAGGCCGACGGGTGCACTATGCGCAGGGAAAAACGCTTGGAGGGTCTTCGGCGATCAACACCATGTCGTATATCCGCGGGACAAAGGGATCCTATGACCTCTGGGCCGAGACGGTTGGCGATGAGACATTTCGTTGGGAGAACATGCTCAGGTTTTTCAAGCGCTCTGTCGACCTCACGCCGCCGAACGAGGAGAAGAGGCAGAACACGAATGCGACTTTACGGTTCGATCCTAGCGATTACGACGAGCAGGGAGGCCCATTGCAGGTTTCTTGGAATAACTGGGTCGACCCGACGCTGACGTGGCTTGCTCAAGTGGTCCTGAGCCTCGGACTGAGTATCAGCCCCAAGGGATTCAGCAGTGGCGAGCTGGCGGGATACGGCGCGTGGGTGCCTTCGACGATCGAGCCGGAAAAGGCGCAGCGATCTACGAGCGAGAGCAGCTTCCTACGACAGGCTATCAAGGACACTGAAATCACTGTGTACACTCACACTCTGGCAACTAAGATCCTGTTCGATGGTACCAAGGCTGTGGGTGTGAGCGTCAACTCCCAAGGGGTCCAGTACACCCTGTCTGCTAATAAAGAAGTCATCCTCACCGCTGGCACGTTTCACTCGCCGCAACTTCTCCAATTCTCTGGAGTTGGCCCGCGCGAAAGACTGGAAGCTCTCTCGATCCCGGTCATCACTGACGTCCCCGGCGTGGGACAGAACCTGCAAGATCCAATCCAGATTTTTGTCGCATACCCCGTCAGCACGCCTTCTGCACAATCTCTCACCAATGATCCAGGCCTCAACCCAGGCTTCGTCGAAGAGTATCTCAAATCTGGCGCTGGTCCCTATAGTTCCACTGCCGGCTTCCTGGCTCACGAGCGGCTTCCCAACTCTACTCTCGCCAATCTCACGCAAACAACTCGCGGCAAGCTTGCTTCGGTTCCTTCTGACTGGCCTCAGCTTTCCTTCATCGTAGGGTCCTTCTCAACTGGGCCAGGACAAACTAGCGGGACCCTAGCTGCGTATCTCCCTCTCGTCTTTTCACGCGGCAACGTCACTATATCGTCAGCTTCCATTGACGTGAAGCCGGTCATCAACTTGAACTGGTTGTCCGACCCCGCCGATGTAGAATTGGCTGTCACGGCCGTCAAGCGGCTACGTACGGCCTGGGCCTCACCATTCGCCAATACGCCGGGATTCAAGACCGGCCCTGAGATGCTTCCTGGTGCTTCGGTGCAGACCGACAAGGAGATACTGGAGTATGTCAGGACTAACGTGGGGCAAGTGTGGCATCCTGTGTCCACTGTCGCTATGGGCAAAGAGCAAGATGTCGCGTTGGGAAAGGCGGTGGTCGACAGCTGCGGGCGTGTGTTTGGTGTTCAAAGGCTGAGAGTCGCTGATGCGAGCACTTTCCCATTTGCTCTACCGGGACATCCCCAGTCTGCCGTGTACGCGTTGGCAGAAAAGATTGCGGAGGACATAATTACTGGTCGTTAAACAGATCACATTTCATGGGTATCGTGTTGTATTGGATTGGAGACTAAGATCCTGTTATGACTCTTCTTGTGACCCTCGCTGCGTCCTGTGCCATATACCTTCCTCTCGTGACCAAGCCAGATCCTTGAATCCTTCTTACTACAAGGTCTGAATCATCTCTCCTTCTATCCGTCAGGAAAGCGCCCCAACTTAGTGCAATAATGCTCCTCGAGCAGGACTGTCCGGAGGGTGGGCGTGTAAAAGCTCTGAGCTCAGCGAGCAGCCTTAGTGTTTGTGCATCTCTTCTAAGAATCTATGAAGAAAATCGCAGTCGGACTGTCCGGCATCCATTCTTTCCTGATCGCTAGACTGAAGTTCCTCTAAGCCCCAGAAATGTTCCAGAACCGACTGGACGTATGTAATTGCTTGCAGGGCTACCTGCGCTCTTCTACCACTGGTCATTGCCATATTGCCAGAGCTGAGCATCCGACGGAGATTGGGGTGAGTTGGAATAAGAGCTTCGTCGGCCAGTCTGCAGGCTTCGCAGTTGGGTTGTCTGCAATCCCTGGTGATTCTTGTGTAATTTTCCTCGTTGTCTTGGTTCTATTGATTAGTTAGAATCCATATATCCTCTCAAAGCACACCATTTTCCGGCCGGCTGAAGGTGATACAGGATTTATGAACATGGAGTACTGATGGAGCTGGAGGAATGCAAGGGATAAGAGAAAAGAGGGCGAGTCTTATGGTAAAGGAAATAGGAAAAATAGCACTGGCGCTGGCGTTTGTGTTGACGTTTGTGTTGGCCTCTGTATCGGCATTTACGCTGGTATCCGCGATGGTATCTGCGATGGCATCTTCGCTGTCATTGGCATAGAAGAGCCTATGACCCATTTTGGCTCAGTATGGCCTTCCTGCTGGTATCGGTATCGAAGTATTTCCAACGCGTCTGTGAAAACAAGGTTCTTGCAAACGGTCAATAAAGAAAGACCTCGACCAAGTTCACAGTATCTCACCGACTAAGGGTGGAGTGAATAGGTATCGGGAATAATAGAGCTGGTCATGAAAGGAAAGGTCTGCGGTAAGAAACAGTCCAAGATACCTTGCTTCATGGAGTGCCGTGTCGTTTCTTATGCGGTGCCTGAGCGGAGATTATTGTCGAAGGAAAATTTGTGCGAGAAGATTTCTTTCGGTCAACTTCAAAGACTGCCTGCCCTAAGTCTGAAGCAGAGTGTACGGAGACATCTTGGTCGTTCCTTCCTCGAATCGCTCCTGGGAAAATTGGGCTTGATCTGATAAAGGAAGATTGGATGGAATAGACTGATGGAATACACGGAATGTATGGAGTCGGATTTTGGTTTTGCACCTTCAGTAATATTGCAGATCCGTGCTATAAAGAATTCAAACTCCAATACCTCCTATCCGGGCCCGGAAGGTCTATTTGAAATGGTCGAAGTGAGAATATTTATTCTTGGTTCTCAACATCACACTCAATCATGAAGTTCCAGGAAAGTGGCTTCCCCACAAGATTTCTCAAGACGGGCTTCATGGAGAAGATCTACGACCTTGAGAATGCAAGTAAAAGTACTTTTGTCGAGTGGAAGACTAGGCGGGTGAAAGTCTAGATAAAATATCCAGGTGAGTCGTGAGGAACCTGCCAGGTCTACTGAAGTGAAGAAGTTCTCCAGGCCTTCAACGAAGATGTCCTTAAGTCAATCTGCTCTTCCTGGAGTTGGTGTTCTCGAAGAGAAATATATCCAAGGGACCAAAAGCAGGGTGGGATTCATCTTGTGGGTTCCGTGGTATACTTTGGAGTCCTGTGACGGTTTGATGCACCAAAACCTCGCCCGGCGTCTAAGCTTCTGATCTTACTCTATATGAACACGGATCTCTGTAATGGGACTGAGTGTATAAGAAAGGCAGTTAATGATTTAGGGCATGATCAGAAGCTAGAAAGATTGAATCAGAATATTATGTACCAATAATCAGTTCTGTTATATGTTGAGAAGCATAGATGTGCACAAGTAGTAAAATAGTTCAAATTATGGAACCATATCCAGATACAAAGGAAGGCCTTGTTGAACCCAGGTATCGTGGGATCGTTACATTCGGATGGAATTCAATGGGGTCTTATAAGCTAAGGTAATTACCTCCGCGACTGTAGATGCTCTCATGATTACACGACAGCTGGATGTTTGTGCCGTTGTGCTCTTTCAGTAGGTCCGTCACTCTCATCCTGTCTTCTTCTGACGCCGTTTGTCCATCGAGAGGTGGTTTTCCTATCAACCCCGCACTTTCAACTGCGCATGTGCCGCTTGTGCAGGATCAGAATGCAGAGATCTGCAAGCCGAACGCGTGATCCATAGAGGTAGGAAAAAGACGATTGGGGAAACGGGGTAAGTGACGAGCGGAAGTCGTGTCACGCTTATTGCTACTATT